ACGCCTCCATTCTGAACAGCTCTACCGTTCACTTTCTTCTTGCTAACGACATCATAAGGCCTCCTGATGTCAAGGCTCTATCACCGCCTGTGTCCGTTACCTTCGGTAATAATCAGGCTCTCTCGGCTGACTCTGTCGCCAAGGTTCCCTGCTTCCTTGGATCCGCTGGCACTGTCACCATCTCATTTCTGGTCGTTGATGGGTGTCGTCCACATTGTCTTATAGGCCGTAACATGTTCTCACTTTTGGGCATTCGGCTGGTCTCTGACAAAGGCGTGGACATCGTTTGCAACATGGCCTCCGCCAAAAATAGCCCGGCGCCCGCCACATCAACCCCACTCTGTGCCCGCTCTGAAGCCGCTCTAACCCCGTTGGTCGAAGTCATTCCTGATGACATAGACCCCAAACGGAAGAGGCTGAGAGCTAGGCTCCCTGCTGTCGAGGATGCACTCATCTATCCATATAGAGCACCATCACGTAAGAGGAGTGTGGTCGATCAGTCCATCATCCACTCGCGCCTGATGAGTATGGCCGAAGCTGGCAAGGTCAAGCCATCTTGCCCGGAAGCATGCACTTGCATCTTCCAACCTGTACTCGTCGACAAGCTCGATCACGGTGATGACAACGCTCCTGCCCGTGTCTATCCATCTGATGATCTTCATCAACGATATCGGATCACTACTGATATCAGGCCCCTGAACCACCTTTCACTGCGGACAGACAGCAATGGTCGCTTCGTCTATTACCCGCAATCTGTGGTACGAGATCTTCCTCCCACTTCTGATGTTACCTCTAAACAATATCAGTCGTCGGCCATCGATCAACTCCGTCGCACGGATATTAACCACTGCAACTTCTGGTGTCGGTTGGATCTGGTGGATGCTTTCGGCTGTGCTCGAATTCATCCCACTCTGATGACAAAGATAGCGACCACTAGCGTCGACCCTATCACTGGCAAAGAGCACGTCTGGCAAATCTGCACCATACCCCAGGGATGGTGCTGGTCAAGTATTCTCTTCCATACCTGTGTACATTGGCTTGTACACAACCCCATCAA